ACGGGGACCGACAGTGAGAGAGGGGGACAGGCAGTGAGATGGAGAGACAGTGAGAGAGGGGGACAGGCAGTGAGATGGAGAGACAGTGAGAGATAGAGGGGTACAGACCTGCTAAGCACTGGGCATTAATAAAGCAGGATGCCTAAGTGTGAATTTGACAGCGGCTTGGAAGCACCACGGCATGTCCGCATTCTCCCCTGCTCACTCTGGCCGGCGCAGCCACAGCATCCCAGCGGAAACAAGCTCCTGGCTGTGCGCTGTGTCTCCTAGCCGACGACGGCGGTAACTGTGGAGAGCCGCCAGCCAGCAGGCAGGAAAGCGAACGAGCACAGCTGCTCTCACATGAAGTTAGGCCGCGGTAAAACACACACACACACATACACACACACACACACACACACACACATACACACACACACATACACACACATACACACAGTCTTAGCAGCATAAACATATGAACATGCTGTGGAAGCCACACTCACAGACTAATACACAGACAGACAGACAGACAGAGCGAACACTGAGGCTTGCCTCCCTGCTCTGAACTGCAGTGAATCGCCGGTTTATGTCCTCAGTGGCAAAGGACCTTGGGGCTCAGACAGGAAGTGCAGAGAGACCTTCGTCCCAGAATCCTCTGTGGCAGCAGAGGACACTGGACTCTGGATGTCAGAACAGCCTTTCTTATCTAACAGCAAGCTAGACAGCCTCATATATAGCAGCAGAGTTCAGCAACCCAGCAGCCTGTGTTGTGGTCATTACCACTAGGACCACCAACAATCCACTTCCTTGATTTACTGGGGTACACAGGCCTTTCCTAAAGGTCCAACAGCTGGGCCTTCTGAAAATGAGTAGCGGCCCAGAACCTGCAGGTCAGCTGCTCCAGTGAGACACGCTTCCCCGCAGCCCATACTGATGGCACGTTACCCGGCCAGACTCCTCGGCGATGGCGCGGACAGACAGAGTGGCGGTGAGGGACAGACACTGGCCTACGCCGGGCTTTCCGGAAGCTTCCTGACACCCTGCTGCGCGGAGCGTGTTCCGCCACGGTTGCCTCCGCGTCTGACTTTAAGTAGACAGCAATTAGGGCAGGATAATTCGCGGCATCTATTATATTCCGAGCAGAGACTTCGTGAGCTTGGTGGGGGGGGGGGGGGGCGCTCGCTGTCAGCTGCGCCGTCATTTGAACGGGCTATTAGAGCAGGATTTAGTGAATTCATCGTGTGTGTGTGTGTGTGTGTGAGAGAGAGAGAGAGAGAGAGAGAAGCACGGGGCTCAGCCAGCGCTCATCAGGACGTGACGGTGCCCCCAGACGAGTCATCAGGCGCAAAGCGGGAAGCCGCAAACAGAGCGTGGCAACGTCCTGCCGCAGCCGGAGGGCCGGGCGCGATGCGATGATGGGGGTGGGGGGGGTCGGCTCGGACGCCGGGAGCCGGCATGGCACGGGATGGTGAACAGAGCGCGGAATCGGAAATGAAAGAGTGCAGTGTGAGTTCGGGGGGGGGTCACCTAACTAGCACGACTCTCTGGTTACCCCTCCCCCCACCACCCACCCCCACCCACGTATTCGGCCCAGCACCTGTCACCGAGGACGCAGGAAAAAAGGCGCTTCCCCCTCAGACCACAAGGAGGGGGGGAGGGGGGGTTGACGCAAGTCATATGTAATTAAAAAAAGAGAGAGAAAACAGCTATTTGTATCTAAGAGAAAACAATGATAAAAGATAACCTTTTCATCTGCCTCCCCCGCATTGATCCCGGCTCTTTCAGACTGCTGTCATCCCAAATAAAAGCTGCATCCCAGAGCGAAAGAATCCCTGCATTTTTCAGCGTCTCTCTCTGCCCGGGAGGATCGAGACGCCAGGCGTTCCCGGAAATGCCGACGGTCCCCGGGAAGCCGGGAGTCTGCCACCCCACGCGTTGTCAAGCCGTCGCCGTCCGCTAGAGTGATCCGTCATCCCAACATCTCACAGGGCCACGGTGGAATCGGGTGCGGGGAAGCGCCTGACGGGGTTCATTTCGGGTCAGTTCTATGTTCAGGGACGTTAAACGCAGCGTGTGATCTCCGTCCACAGGCCGAGGTGGCCCTGGGAGGGGGGGTGGGGGCTGTTAAGAGAGCTGGAGTGGGCGGTCTGTACAGATGAAGGAAAAAAATACTCAGTGACATCCTGACGAAGTGCAGATTCAGCCGGACGAGGTGTCCGGGGGGGGAGGCCAAAAGGACACGGCCGGATCCCAAGGCAGGAAACTGTGTTCACACTTTTACATGGGGGGGGGGCGGGGGGGGCAGCGCAGAGGCATACAATGTGATAAAATCTGGCCCTCGCACATGCAGCATCTCTTTAACACGTCTGTGATGGGACAGCAGGATAAATGGACGAGACGCGCATACGCACGCACACACACACACACACACACACACACGCACGGCCGGGTCGTCCTCGAACCCGCAGCCGCTGAGGCGTGTGGCCACACGACTGCCGGCCAGCCCACCCGCCGAGCTGCCCATCCTTACGGGGGTAACAGGCGACTGCGCAACGGCTTCACTGCACGCGCTGAGTGGGAGCGGAAGGCTGTCAGGAAATCGATGCTCCCCAGGGGAGATGAGGGGGTGCGGAGTGGAGAGCAGGCTTAATGAGCCTCAGACAGACACGCACACTCACACACACACACACACACACACTCACACTCACACACACTCTCCCTCTCCCCCACAATCTTTCCCTGTCACACACACCAACATGACGCAAACCCCGGCTGTCCAAATGAGTGCTGGGTGATGGGAAGGGGGGGAGACAGGAAGGACATCTGGGCCTGGGGGGGACGGGGGGCTGCATGGGAACAGTTTGCAGCCCATGACACGCACTCACAGGGCGCCAACCGAGTGCCCTGCAGCCTATTGGGTCCTCTGGGCCGGAGCTGGAACCCCCCCCCCACTCAGGCTCCTTGCCGAGCCGTTACTCAGTGGTGACATCATTACTTTTTAATTAACATCCTCACATTAACGGGATTTTCGCTCTCGGATTTATGGCGCTGCCGCATGCTGACGCCGATGGGGAAAAACAGGGCTGATGTCGCCGGCGTCCAGCCAGGCACTGCCAACGCTGCCCAGGACAAGGAGGACCCCCCCGGGCGGGAACACACAGCGTCGCCGCCCCCTCGCTGGCATGAACACAGCGGGAGCGTCGCCCCTCTGAAGCATGCCACCCAGCCAACCTCTCCCGCCACCGAGAGCCGGCCCCCGATTCTCAGCCGTTGGTATGGCAACACCTATTGTTGATTCCCGTCCCTGACCGAGGCCGTCAGGGGCGGGAATCAACCGGGGCGAGCAGAGAGGCTCGCTGAGCAGGACGCGTTTAAGACCTGAACCCCCGCAGACGGCGTGACAGTGAGTGTGAGCCTACAGGAACGGGTCGAATTTAGACCACTGGGGCACTTCTGAACTCCCTAAGTGCATCTTTGTGATTTGTCTACCTTTCGCAGTGTGAAAACACGGGCTGGGTGGGTGGAGCCAAGGAGCGCCGGCCTTGCGTGTGTGCGTGTAAACAGGCCTCGCAGTCTTCACTGGGGGGGCGTAGACACACTCAGAATTAATAACAAGGGAGGAATTTAAGTACTTAAACACCCCGGAATCAAACACTTTCCAAGTTATTCCTGGCGTGCAGGTTTTATATTCAGTCCCATCTTTAACCCCGTCCCCCCCACTGACCACCTGGGGGGGGGCAGCTAGGTTCGCTCTGTAAACAGACGTACATCTTGGGTAAACAGAAACACGTCGCGGGTAAACAGTAATACATCAGCGAACCCACCCCATCGCTGAGCGCCCCCACATCCCTCCACGTGTCTGCTGCTGTCAGAGGCGTGAGCCCCGAAGACACGAAAAGCTCCGGGGGGGGTGAGGCATACAGGCGCACACGCACATGGAGCACCCCAGAGGCGTCACACCGCGTGATTTAACAAATAGGACGCTGCGAGGGAAGTGGAAAGCAGCAGATTTGTCTGGGAAGGAGAGTCGGAGCGTGCAGGAATCCCACTGGCACAGCGAGAAGCCTGTGGGCCTCAGGCACAACGTGAGAGCGGTCCGGCCCACATGTGCCGCTGCTTCAGGCACAGACCAATGGAGGCGCCGTAAGCGCGTCTGTGTGTGCGGGTGCACATATTTGTGCGTGTCCCCAAAAGCAATCGGCAGAGCGACACAGGTCCCCACAGAGCATCGGACTGGCATCCCAGCATGCCTTGCGGTATCCATGTCCTGGCATCCCAGCATGCCTTGCGGTATCCATGTCCCGCCAACTGTCTTCTCTGGGAATTTCAGTTCATTTGGGAAGTCTGAGTGCTCTTAGGCTAGGTGGAGCCATGGCGCAGTCCGGGCGCAAATGTTCCTCACGAAGGTGAAACGTGCGTCATGGCTACTGTGAAGTCCTCAGATGACCGAAAGCGATGAAGAAGCGGAAGAAGCCTTTCCCACTCGCGACGGCGTCGGAGGCTGTTTTTCACTGCATGCACGGCCTCGACAGCGGCCACTCACGCACTTCCTGTTGTCATCCTTTGGTGGGGGGGGGGGGAATGTTTCCAGCTGAGGGCCGACAGACTGCTAACAGCGCGCCGCAGAGGCGCTCGGAAAAGCTGCCAAGAGTGTCACGCCTGCGCTGCCTTCGCGGTCGTTACTGCCTGCAGACACCAGCGCAGCACAGACACACACACACACTCACATTTAAACTCAGGCATAAACACAGACACCTGTGCAGCACAGACACACGCACACACACTCGCATTTAAACTCAGGCATAAACACAGACGCACGTACCATAAACAGGCACACATGCAACCCGCCTCAGTAGCCGCGGCCGAGCTAGACACCCCCCATCATGTGCCCCCACACATCATTTTAAAAGATTAAAATCCCCCCGGACCTCCACTTCCAAGAACGCTAAACGATTACAGGGCCTTAAAAGTGGAAAGTGCCGAATCAGCAAAGAGGTCACCGCCAAGGAGAGCAGAGGGGCGTGGTTGAGTGGTAGTGGGCGGGGCTGAGCTGGAGTGGGCGGGGTTGAGCTGGAGTGGGTGGGGCAGGGGTGGGATGGAGCAGGAGGGTACACTGCCTTTCACCCCGCCTCCTTTCTGTTTCTGTTCGCTAACATCGTCTCACTTCTTCATTGAGGTGTCAGTCGGGTTTTAATTAAAATCTCTTCCCTCTCCACCCCCAGTAATCTATGAAGCACTGGGTCCCAGCGCTGCGGCATCCGTTTTTCCTGCAGACGCTGGCACCACCCCCATCTGTGGCCAGCCACGCTTTGCAGGAGGTAGGGAGTCCCCCCCATGCGCTGTGGTTCCTCTCTTGTCATGAGACCCCCCCCCCCACAACCCACGAAGGACAGACCCGTTTACAGGGCATCATGATCTCAGGCAGTGCACATTCCCCTGAGTGTGCGCCTCTGTGTCTGTATCAGCGTCACCTGCCAGTATCTGTCTGCTTCTGTCAGAATCACAGGGTGTGACTCTGTTTTGGTATCAGAGTGTGTGCCTGTGTATCTGTGTCCGTACTGCAGTGCGCCTGTGTGTCTGTGTCAGTATTGCAGTGTGTGCCTGTGTGACTGTTTCAGTATCAGAGNGTGTGTGCCTGTGTATCTGTGTCCGTACTGCAGTGCGCCTGTGTGTCTGTGTCAGTATTGCAGTGTGTGCCTGTGTGACTGTTTCAGTATCAGAGTGTGTGCCTGTGTATCTGTGTCTGTATTGCAGTCTGTGTCTATATATGTGTCAGTGTGTGTTTTTGTGTGCTTGTGTTAGTATTGCAGTGTGTCTATGACAGTACCTCAGTGTGTGCCCTGGGGGAGGGGGGCACTGACCAGCCCAGTCAGGCCCCCAGGGTAAACCATGGCCTAGGACCAGCGCTGTCCGTCCGTTTACAGCCTGGCTCTCGTCCTTCTGGCGCTCCGCCTCGCCTGCCCCCCTCATCCCCCCCCCGCCCCCCCCGACAAGCGGCTCCAGGGCCCCTATTAGGCGGCGTGTTGGCCGCCATCCAGCCGAACACAAAGCTCCAGTGAAACGGGCATTCTGCGTGAAGGGGCACAGCACTGCCTGCCTGGCACCTGTGGGCATCGGCTGCCTTGGCGAGTGTACGACCACGTGTGCATGACCATGTGTGCATGATCGTGTGCATCTGCGTGTGAGCTCACGTGCATGTGCACAAGTGTGTGCAAGACCTTGCCCAGTGGCCAAAAAGCCGGCCAAGCACACACAGTAACGAGTGGATTCGGGACGGAAAACTCTCCGAGAGGAGCATTATGGACAACCTCCCCCCCCACCTCCCCCCCCCCAAATGGATCCACAACCTTGTGGAACACCCTATCAGCTTGTCAACAACACATCAGCCTGAGAAAGACAGCAAGGTAGGGAGGAGGAGAGAGGGAGAGAGAGGGAGAAAGAGAGGGAGAAAGAGAGAGAGGGAGACAGGCATGAGCTGGACAGAAGGCACCCCTCCCCCTCCTGTGGGGCCCTGGGCCGCTGAGTCAGGCCTGCAGAGGGCTCCTGATGACTGGGCATTAACCCCCCACCCCTGTAGTCACCTCCACCCCCCCCTCGCAGAGCCAATTAAGCTGGAGATCATTAACTCATTAGAGAGCAGCAGGGATCTGCTCCCTGCCAGCGCACTCGCTAATGGGGAGGAAATCACTGCACAACCTGGGCCTGGAGGAGGGCAATCAGCACTGCGCATGCAGCACTGCGCATGCAGCTCAGCGCCGGGGCAGAGGGGGCTGTTTACTCACAGAGCGGCGGCGGTGGGGGGGGGGGCGGAGGGAAGAACTGAGCAGGACCGTGCCAGAACTGGGCCCCACTTGCTGAGGCGCGTCACTCAGGAAAACATGACTGGCTGGGAATAACGGGAATCACGCTGGGGGGGGACATGGGTCCACGGGCGGGGGCCGACTGTCAAGGCAAATCGGCCGGCTTCCTCCCGCTAATCAGACCCCCCGCTGCCCGGGGGGCCCACCACTGTGGGGGTACCAGCAGCCGGGCTTGAAGGACGGCATCCGCATGGTGGGGGGTGGTAACGGGGCCCGACTCCTGCTGCGAGGAGAAAACACAG